AACTAAAAAACTAAAGAAGCTACAGAAACTGAAGAACTGTAGAGAATGAGGAAACTAAAAAAGTGTAGAAACTGAAAAAAACTAAGGAGACTGAAGAAACTAAAAAACCAAGGATACTAAAAAACTTAAAAAAACTAAAAAAGTATAGAAACTGAAGATACTAAAAAAACTCAAGAAATTTAGAAAACTGTAAAAACTAAATAAACTGAAGAAACTGGTGTAACTGAAATAACTAAAGAAAAAGAACTGTGGAAACTGAAAAAACTAAAAAAAAAACAAGAAACTAAAAAAACTAAAGAAATTTTAAAAACTGTAAAAACTAAATAAACTAAAGAAGCTACAGAAACTAAATAAATGTAGAAACTGAAGAAATCAAAGAATCTGTAAAAACTAAAAAAACTGTATAAACAAAATTAACTGAAGAAACAAAAAAACTAAAGAAGCTACAGAAACTAAAGAAACTGTAGGAAATGAAGAAACTTAAAAACTGTTGAAAATGAAGAAACTTAAGTTACTGAAGAAACTGGTGTAACTGAAATAACTAAAGAAACTAAGGAGACTAAAAATACTAAAAAAACCGAATAAACTAAAAACTGTATAAACTAAAGAAATTAAAAATTTCACAGTAAAATTCATACGAAACTTGACTGATATCATGAAAACTGTAAAAACTAAATAAACTGAAGAAACTGGTGTAACTAAAATAACTAAACAAAAGGAGAATAAAAGAACTGTAGAACAGTGTAGAAACTGAAAAAACTAAAAAAAACAAGAAACTAAAAAAACTAAAGAAATTTAAAAAACTGTAAAAACTAAATAAACTAAAGAAGCTACAGAAACTAAGGAAATGTAGAAACTGAATAAATCAAGGAATCTGTAAAAACTACAAAAAACTGTATAAAGAAAATTAACTGAAGAAACAAAAAACTAAAGAAGCTACAGAAACTAAAGAAACTGTAGAAAATGAAGAAACTTAAAAACTGTTGAAAATGAAGAAACTTAACTTACTGAGTAAACTGGTGTAACTGAAATAACTAAAGAAACTAAGGAGGTTAAAAATACTAAAAAACCGAATAAACTAAAAACTGTTAAACTAAAGAAATTAAAAAATGCACAGTAAAATTCATACGAAACTTGACTGATATCATGGTATGGTCTTTAGGGCGATTTTCTCATGCATCCATGGAGCACTGGATGCGTTAGTTCACAATACATCGTGCCGTGCCATGTAATAACGGTGAAAGTCGATTCCGGCGCTGCTACCGTGCGCCGCCTTCTTGATTATCGCCGCTCGCAGCATTTCTTTCTCAAAGACAACACGGCCGCTTGCGTGCACCGGCGCTATTTGCCAGTTTCGCCTACTGCTATCACGACCGAGGACCATTTTCGAGATGGCCCTGGCAGCAAGAATCACTGTGTTTCTTCGGATTCTTCTTCGACTTCTTTTCCTCTCGCCCCAAGACGCATTCACACATTCATTAAGTAGAAATCCGGTGGCCTTTTAAGAAGAAGCTGTAATGACAGCTTAATTCTTGGGCTTTGTGTTGCCATACTTTTGGTTTTTGAGCAAACATTCAAAAGAGATCAAGTCTGCTGGTTAAGGTTGATATAGCACCAAGTAAATAAAACCCTATTGCTATTAAATAAACACTTTAAGATGGAAATCTTCATTGATATCTTATTTTGTCAGTCTGCTCCATAAGTGAATAAATGCACCTGTGAGAATCTCCACTTCACGAAATCCTCTGTAATATTTTTATAACATTAACATAATCCTCTTTCGTCTATACACACGGACAATGGTGGCTCACAATGGACGAGTAGTATAAGATGAAAGAAGAAAGGCCACCGCTATTAACAAAAGAGCATAGGCGCAGTGCCATCAGCCACTAAATCACAAAAAATATTATCACACAACTGAATGTCATGTCAGTTCGACGGGGGACTTGGAACAAAATATCGATGACCAAATCTGTGGGAAAATGGTCGGACAACCATTAATCTTGAAATTATGATCGCGATGATTTTAATATCGATTTTGTCGGGCTTTTAGGGATCATTATAGTTTTTTCTTTTCTTTTTTTTCAGGGTTCAAGTGGGCAGCGTGGGTAAATGAATCGATAGGTGCCTGAGGACATAAACAAGCACGTGGTACGACACACTGGAGTACTATACGAGAATATGGTGAAAATATATGAAGGCATTATGTTCATATCATCATCATATCATATCATATATGGTTTTGATGTGGTCAAACCACAGTCTTCTTGTTCTTCCTATCATTCTGGGTCTGTCCATGGACATACTCTCAGAAGCAGAAAATGAAAAGGAAAACTTAGGTTTCAGAATGTTAAACAATACTAACACAAGTCGTTAAAGATGCACTAAGAAACTGCTAATAAATATAGAAACTGAAGAAATTAAAAAAACTAAATAAACTAAAGAAGCTACAGAAACTATAAAAACTGAAGAAATTGTAGAAACTTAAAAACTACAGAAATTGAAGAAACTAAAAAACAGTAGGTACTGAAACAACTAAAGGAACTAAGGAGACAGAAGAAACTCGTATAATTGAAAAAAGTAAAGAAACTAAAAAAACCTATTAGACTAAAAAACCTGAAAAAACTGTAGAAACCGAAGAACCAAAAAACTGAAAAAAACTAAAGAAATAAAAAAATAACTGTAAAAACTTAATAAACTGAAGAAACTAAAAAAGTAAAGAAGCTACAGAAACTAAACAACTGTGGAAAATGAAGAAACTTAATAACTGTTGAAACTAAAGAAACTTAATAACTGAAGAAACTGATGAAACTAAATAAACTAAGAAATAAATTAACTGGTTTAACTCAAATAACTAAAGAAACTAAAGAGACTGAAGAATCTAAAGGAACTAAAAAATAAAGAAGATACAGAAACTAAAAAAACTGAAGAAACTGAGGAACTATAGAAACTTAAAAACTGACAGAAATTGAAGAAACGAAAAAAACTGTAGGAACGGAAAAAACTAAAGAAACTAAGGAGACTGAAGAAATCGTGTAATTGAAAAAATCTAAAGAAACTAAAAAAACAAGGAGACTAAAAAAACTGTAAAAACTGAAGAACCAAAGAAAATGAAAGAAACTAAAGAAACTACAAAAAACTAAAGATATTTATAAAAAACTGTAAATACTAAATAAACCGAAGAAACTAAGAAACGAAAGAAGCTACAGAAAATGAAGAACTGTAGAAAATGAAGAAACTTAATAACTGTTTTAACTAAAGAAACTTAATAACTGAAGAAACTGAAAAATAAATTAACTGAAGAAACGTGTTTAACTGAAATAACTAAAGAAACTAAGGAGACTGAAGAAACTGAAAAACTAAATAACCGAATAAACTAAAAAACTGTGGATACTAAAGAAGATGAAAAACTGAAAAAATGCACAGAAAATTTTAAATTTAATTTTTTAATTGAGAAGCTAAGAGACTACTAATATTATTAGTCTAATAAATGTAGAAACTGAAGAAATTAAAATAACTGTAAGAACTAAAGAAACTAAAAAACTAAAGAAGCTACAGAGACTAAAGTAACTGAGGAACTGTAGAAAATGTCCCCCTCTAGCTGCAAAATTTTTTGAAAACCTAACCCAATTTTAAAAATGAAAAAATGTAACCTAATACTCGTCGATAAAGATAATGGACTTTCAGTTAAAAATGGACTTTTTACAAATCAAGATATCTTGCTACCTGCTTTTCTACTCTTCACTTTAAATGTTTTTTTCCTAAACAGCAATTGTCTCACTCGATTTGCCTGAACTATTTTTATAAATATGTAATTCGCTTGTCAAAGTAAAACGAGGTTATAGCAAACGAGTTAAGTAACTAAGTAGCATAGCGTAGATTGGTATGTATGGGAACTTCTACTGAAAGATGATACGCAATCAATATTGACGAGATAATCGTGTGAAATGCTGAACACACACGAATTTGCAATAATACGCTACAACCGAACAACATTACTTATACTATTATGTAAAACACAAATAATAATAATTTTCATATGGTATGCTCAGCACAGTGAGGCAGTATACTTTTGATCCATGATTACATTGTTCAACTAATATTTTTACAAAATAGCTTGACATTTCAAATTCTAAACACAGATGTCCCTAGTAGGCATACATTGATAAAATAATTGACATTTGACATGATATATCTAGTGAGTACTAGTACCATCTATCGGTGACATTGGACAATACAAGATGGCAGCACTCTTCAGTGGACTTTACATGAAATTTGAGGTTAGGGTTAAAAAATAAAATTATGGGAAATAATAAATTATTAAAAACACAAGTGTTATTTTTACATTTTTATTAAATAGAGCAAATAATGTATACATGTATACATTGATAAAATAATTGACATTTGACATGATATATCTAGTGAGTACTAGTACCATCTATCGGTGACATTGGACAATACAAAGATGGCAGCACTCTTCAGTGGACTTTACATGAAATTTGAGGTTAGGGTTAAAAAATAAAATTATGGGAAATAATAAATTATTAAAAACACAAGTGTTATTTTTACATTTTTATTAAATAGAGCAAATAATGTACAATGCCAAAACTAAGTTAATAAATAAAAGTAATTCTAAATACATTTTTTTTAATATTGCAACATAGTTTTTTTAAAAGCCACTGTGTTGAACTTTTGCCAGTGCAAAAATTAACCAGTAAATAATAATATTGTAATAATATTAGTACATTCTTAATAGATTTACTAAGAATTAATATATGGATAAAATTAAAAGCTGATTTTTCTGTACAGATTTAATAAAATATAATTTTATAAGGGATCTCAAATTGCACTTTTTATTCTGATTATTGCCCGAGTAAATATTTTTTACGTCATAATCATAATAGTCATAATAGTAATAATAAGTACAGTTTAAAGACTAGACATAATATTAGTCCTTTTAAAAAATATTTTTTATATCGAAAAACAAAATCAAATTTTATTTTCTTTATAGTATAATAGGTAGTAATCGCACACATCTTTCATATGGAAGCGAAAAGCTTTTTTATAAATAATAAAATTTCATAAATCTAAATTATATACATAAATGCGTGACAATCATTAAAAAATTAAGGAATACTGCTGATTAACGACGATATCTGCTGATGATATCATTATCTAGAAAAGCAATTGTAAGCTGTTGTGGGGTAATGTATTGTCCTGAAAAAAAATTAAAAAAATTAATTTTTATATTTTTTTACTTTATTAAGGGGGTATGCTGCAACAACTGGAGTACAACCTATATTATGAGAATGTTAAAAGTTGAAAATTAAAAATGTTAAAAATAAAGACAGTATAACCCCTTAAGAAATAAAATATTTACAATAAAAATCACTTGAAGCATTATTAATTATTAGTATAAAGCGTTTGGTTGAAAATAAACTTAATTAATCATTAAAAAAGTTGTGTGTGTGTGTTAAAAAGTATCTTACATTGCATTAAAAGAAGTCAGGGCCGGACTGGCCCTTCGTGCCCACATAGCAGAGCCCTCTACCGCCATATGCATTGGTTGCATCTAAAAAGTAAGCAAGGTAAATAAAATTGTTAAATAAATATAATAGATAAATATACACAATTTGTTAAAAAATGTGCAGGGTGTTTATATGGTGTGCCAATAAAACACCCTGTATATTTATAAAAAATAAACAATAGTTGAGGTTATATATTATAAATATATATGTACATAATATGTGGGTCATTCCAACAATAGGAACAATGACATAATTTCGCAATAAACTATTTTACAAACAATTTAATAAAAATACGGTTTCCAAACAATAAAATCAAAAAATATAGGTACGTAGGTTTTAGATTATATGGGTGTTTTTAATTTATTTCTTTAAGATATACAGCTACGTAGAATTAACATATTTTTTATGTTGTTGCAAAATTATTTGTTTTGTTTTGGACAATTTAATTTTTTTATTGTTTACAAATTATTATTATAGGTTAAGTTAAATTAATGTTTTTTTAACTGTTATAACTATAATACAGGTTGGAACAAAAGTATCAAATAATGGCTTTAACTTTGTTATTTGCAAAGTTTAAAAAAAAGTTCAATATAAAAGTTATTTTTTGTTCATTATGAAAAAAATCATATTTCTCTCTATTCAATCTTACAAAAAAAATAAGCATGCTTATTAATAGTATGCAGTTTGTATTTAGACTGCCTTTGTCAATATTTAAATACTTAATTTTATCAATTTTATCTAAACTTTAGTGTTGTGAAATTAATCAATTATTTGTGATCGAGTCGTAATAAATATTTTTTCTTGCTTTTTTTCAAAAATTGCTAAATTTTATGACTGAATAGAGAAAAATATGCTTTTTTCATAATGAACAAAAAAAGTATTTAAAAAAATGGTTGCCATAGAAAAATAATAAAAAAATATATCAACAAACTAAAAAACTCAACATGGTTGGTAATGAACCAAATAATTATATTGAACTTTTTTTTAACTTTGCAAATAACAAAGTAAAAGCCATTATTTGATACTTTTGTTCCACCCTGTATACTATATATAAAGTGTATAGTACTATGGTAAAACTTTGTTTATATATTTGTAACACAATAAAAAATTCAAAAAACTTCTCATTCATTAATTTATTAATTGATAGCACATTTTTATTGATGAGGTTACAAAACTTTTATTAAGGAATAAAAAAGAAGAGGCTGTGCATTTTTGACATCATGTGTTGATTTCGTAAAAACCGCTTCCCACGCACAACATACGGTTTTTGTTTAAAACATTTTCGCCGCAAATTACTAGAAATCGAACACTTAACGTGGGAGTTGGTTAATTTGATTTTTTTCAACAGGACTGTATTAAGAAATTGCTTACCTACTATTGGTAAAATTGTGTTATAGCAAGTGCTACATTTAAATACTTTTATAATTTTGCGCTTCGTCTTCGAGGTGAAAACAAAAAAAAATCAAAGCACATGTGTTGAAATGAGTTCAAAAAGGATTTATTATACGCCATAAAGCCGATTCGAGACGGTCTATCGAATTTGTATGGATACTTTCAAATATTCGAGAAAATTTTACTGTCGCCCGAAACAATTTTAATATTGCAAAACGAATTTTCAGTCGTAAATGACCAAAATAACAAAATAAAACGCAATTTCGTGTCGTTAAAATCGGGCGAATTTGAATATGTTAAAAAGTCATTTAGATTTTAACAATAAATGGGTTATTTTGAAGTCAATGTTGTTCCAGGCTTTAGTAGCAGCAGATGTAGATTGTAGATGTAGAGTCAGTTTTTATTGTGCCCCATACTTGATATATAATTAATCATTATTTGCTAATTCGAGTTTGTTCAGAGAAGATTTTTATTTTTGTCTTTTCCTGATAAAATATTTTGATTGGTTCGTTGAATAAATGGCAAGTTTGGGGTGCAAGGTTAATATTTAAAAAAGTGTGACACATTTAAAAATACATAATAATGTGAAACGTACCTGTGTTGTTTGAGATTGTCCTGCCTTTTGAAGCTCTTCCCGCATATCTCGCAGCTGAACGTCAGTTCTGGACTTTTGTGTGTCCTTTCGTGAATCATCAAGTTGTAGGGCTTGTTGAACCTCCTCTGGCAATACTTGCAAATGAATTCGCACTTGGGACGCATTTTTCTTCTGAACTCTCTGCCACTCACGTCGTTATCAAGCTGCATTATGGCGAACATTTTTACGGTGCTGTTTTTATACGCGTTGCTGCAAAACGGAAATCACAGATGATCTGATAGCGGATGCAAAATGAATCTGCAAAAAACAATAAACATCGTCAGACAGCTTAGGAACACCGCGATTGAATGTTCAATTTTTGGCACATTATTTATTATTCAATTACAGTATGACTGGTACAGTTAATTCTCTACTCATATTGGTCAAGCCTGGAGGCCAAAATTGGGCCATTCCTCCCCATCCATTTCCACCATTGTTGGTTCAGAAAACTTAAGAAATTTTAGGAAATTTAAGAAATTTTAATAAAATTTAAAAAAAAATGTTATGGAAGTTTTTTGATTCAAAATTCTATCTCACATCTATGTTGAAGACGATGATGATGATATTGTTGTAGAAGTTCAAAAACTCTAATTTCTGGATATTTTTTACAAAGTTTATTGGTAAATTTCTCAATTCCGTAAATAGTATGTATATTACAATTTTTTTGTTTTTATTAAAAAAAAGGTTTAGGTATAGTTGATATTGACACATACTCTCTAAAAATGAATTAGTCAAAAATGAATAGTTTCAAAGTGAAAAAGCACTAATAACTGTGGTTCACAGCAATTTGTATATATCCCGGATAATTAACAAAAAAGTATTTTGTAAAAATGTCCCCTGAATTCGAAAATACCGTCAAAAATTATGAAAGTAGAGCAGTTTTTGAGATATGGTCTACTCCATATTTTATGGAAAATTCACCATATCTCAAAAACTGTTCTACTTTTATATTTTTTGATGACATTTTCGGATTCAGCGGAGTAGACTACTAAATGTTGCTGTTGGTTATTAGTGGCTGCTTTTTTGATATGACAATTAGTCATTTTGACTCATTCATTTTTAGAGAGTAGATTGTAAAATTTGTTTTAGATAAAAAAATTTAATTACAAGAAATACCTTTATGACTAATATTAACTATATATATATATATATATATATATATATATATATATATAAATATATAAGTCACCTGAGTTCATAGATTTTGCAGATACGACAAATTCACGTTTCCCAGTCTTATATTTTCCCAGTAAAATCCATGATTAACTATTATAACAAGATTGATAAGATTAAAAACAATAAAATTGTATAACATAGTAGGTATTTTTTACAGTCACACCTGAGTGTATCCTTTAGCTAAAAGCATAATCATGATTTTAGATAATTTTCATATATCGACAGTATCTTACTATTTATAGACATATGTGGTTAATTAGATAGGAAAATCCTTTTGTAATTAGAAAGAAAAAACCACAACTAATTGAAGTACCTGGTTGTTTTTAGCTGTGAGGTAAGTTAAAACATTAGCACTACTACAACTCCGAGCTCCGTATCCAAAAAGTGTATTATACCTTAAATGTTTTTTCTCACACTTTTCGTTATTTTTTTAGCACAAAAATCGTGAACGACACAGCCTTGAATGCTTGAAAGCCTTGCAAAACATGTAAACTCATCTAATGATTAATAAAATCGATGAAAAATCAATAAGTAGTTGTAAATGCTATGCTTTTTCAATTGCCACATGAACAGAGGTGATTATTCAAGCGGGATATTTATAAATATTAATAATGCTACTGTATACAGGTATATATAAGTACACGATTAAGGATATTGTTTATAAACAATGTATACATGACGGCGCTACACCTTTATGTTTCATGCGGTTTAATTTTATCACGAAGTTTACCTATGTATATGAAGTTTAAATCCGTTTATTAATGATTAATTATTTAATGTAATACATTTTTTTTAGTTGAAATTTAATTTTCAATGATTTGTTTAGACTAATTTAATTTTTAAATAAATAATTTTAAAAATTCTTAAAATTTAAAAAAAAAAAGTAAATATTTAATCTTTACAGATGCTAAATATTTTTATAAAAATACCCATAATAACTATAAAAAAACATACCAAAATATACACTGTCAAATATTCCTTGAAATCAAATCACGTCACCGAAATAAAAACAGCACACTACACTGGTGGTATATAAACAATTGACTAATATAATAACAACGATAAATTAAAAAAATAAGCAAAACCGTCACAGTGAGCGAGCATGTGCACTGATATGGTAGCACTTCGCAGAAGCTGGTTCTTAAAGGACCTCCGAGGAAAATCTAGAGAGCCAAGACGCGCATGGGTCTCTTGATGCGGTGAAAGGTTCTCACAGAATCACGGAGGCTATGTGATGGCTGCAAGCGGCTGCTATTGGAAGCTTTGGTTCTTCTTCTGGACTCATTACTTGGTTATTTAGTCGTTTAGGGTTTTTTTGTTACGGGTGAAAAATCTCAAAAATCGTTATCCTATTATTAAATATAAAGTAACAAAAAATATTAATTTTAATTAAAAAAATAGAATCTAAAAATCATGAAATATATTTATTTTAAAACTAAATAATCACTGCAGTACTTAAGTACTGAACAAAGAAATGTAAAAAAAATAATAGATGCAATATGAGAACAATAAAAAGTGAAAGGTCACAAGATAATGTACAGGGTATTAACTTTAACGAGTAAAAAATATTTTTATAAAAATTTGACATTTAAAATTCATTCACCCCAAGAAAAAAATCATCCGAACAAACAACCGCAAGTATAAATTTCCAAGAACTTCGAAAACAATCAATTAACCGGAAAAATCGAACAAATGACCATCGGACTCGATAAACAAAAGCCGCTGAAACCATTAAGGACCCATTTTAAAAATGCAAACATCGCAGTAGGATTTCGACCGATCAATCAAACGAACTGTCAAAAATAAAGGAAATTGTCGCACAGTGCAGCGCACAGTTTGTAAATGTAAATTATTTTTTTTTAATTTCGTTGGGGAATTTAGGGGCGTGCTTAACGTCTGGTAGGTATTTGCAAGTCATTATAATATTAACATAAAGTAATTGTTGTCATTCTCCACGTCCATCTTCGACGTTTCAAATCTATATGCTAATGAAACATTTTTAACCTATTTTTATCGAAATCCCACGCATACTAAAAAATTCTATCGGTCCACACCTTTACCAATTTTTTTAATGTCGCCGACTTAAAGTTGGCAACAGCGAAGCGCCAAGCGTACCAACCGTATACTTATGTATGCTAATAAACTTTATTTAGAGTTACGCCTCTCATTGTTTTCTAAAACCATTGATATTGTCTCTGAAAGTGATTTTTTATTGCTTATTATGTTTTTGTTGCTTCATATTTTTTCGGTTATATTATTGATTGTACTTAAGGTTAAAAATGGGTTTAGAGATTAAATAAATATTTTCACCAAGCTATTTATAAGTACTTTTTTTAAAAAAGCTAGGACAAAAAATCAGCGGTTCTCGAAAATTAAAAAAAAATTGTCAAAACGTGTCAAGACCAAAAATAATTATTTTTAACAATTATAATTTAAATACATAGGTACCATTTTAGACAGTTGGACCAAAATTAATAAAATGAACATTTTAAAACAGTTTTGAACTTTCAGACAATTTAGACAGTTTTATGTTCTATGATATCAATGTAATATTTTTTTAGAAAATCTTTGTAAAGTATTAAGACAAACAGTTTTAGATAGTTTAAGGACAATTTAGATAGGATAGACCGTTTTGAAACGGTTTTAGGACATCAATAGACAGTGTTTTATTTTATGAGTAGGTATGTTGGAACATTTTATATACTTTTAATTTATTTTAGACAATACAGTTTCAAGTTCAAAAAATAGGACAATTTAAATAGTTCTATACAGTTTTACCGGATTTTGTAATATTTTAGACAGTTTTAGGACAATAAAAAAGACAATATTTTTATTTGTTTGTAGAACACTTTAAGAAGCTATAGAACATTTTAGACACTTTTCAGACAATTTTAGACGGCTTTAAAACATTAATAGACAGTTTTTAATTATTTTTAATTATTTTGGTTCATTTTATATAGTTTTAACCCATTTTAGTTTAAAAAATAGTTTTATAATAATTTTGGACCATTTTATTTATGTCTCAGAACATTAAAAAAAGATACTTAAAAAAAATTAACACACAGAAGGGACAGAAGGGATTTTAGATAGTAGGACATTTTGGATAATTCTAAAATAGTTCTTATTCTTATAACTTTAAAAGACGGTAAAAGACTTTAGGACAATTTATACAGTTTCATGTCCTATGTTAAATTTAAAATATTTTATAATTTTTTTAAAACAGTTTTATGATCCTTAAAGGACATTTAAGTTAGGATTAGGACATATTTAAATATACAGAGTGGAACAAGTTACATATATTCTAAAATGAACATTTAAGACAATTATTTTAGACCATTTTTACGATAATGATAGTTTTAAAACGATTATCCTTTGTATTTTTTACTTTTTTTTATTTATTAAACCATTTTTAAACAGTTTGAAGAAACTTTTAGACCATTTTAGACATTAAACCAAAATTTTTAAAATAAACATTTTAAAACAGTCAATTTTTGGGAAAATTTAGACATTTTAAAATAGTAAAATAAATTACAATTGTAATTTATTTTACTATTTTTTCTATGGTTTAAGACATAATATTTTAATAGGTTAGATGGTTTAAGGATAATTTAGATAAAATTATCTTATACCTACAGAGCCAAATACCTATATATTGTTGCAATAAGATTTTGTAACATTTTATACAGTTTTACGACCATGAAAAAGACAATATTTTTATTTGTTTATAGGAAACTTTAGGAAGCTGTAGAACAGTTTTAGAACATTAATAGACAGTTTTTAATTTTACCTATGAGTATTTTGGTACATTTTATATAGTTTTAAGTTGTAAAAAATAGTTCTAGACACTGTCTAGAACTATTTTTTACAACTTAAAACTATATAAAATGTCTAGTAGACAGACAGATTTATCATGATTTTGGACAATTTTATTTGTTTCAGAACATTTTAGACAGTTTAAGGACAATGAAAAGACATGACCATGGCCATAATAAAAACAAAAGATGATGAAGTTTGTAGTTCATCAAATTTTCAATATTTTTGACTTATAGAAATGTTTTTATAAAGAAAGATGTGAAGTTTTTAAATGCTAAGGATCATTAAACTAAACGATCTATCTGCATAGATACCGGCTTCTCGGAAATCGTCTCATTATCCAGTTAGCCGCGCTACCACGCTTACTCAACAAGCATCGATCTAGTTGGCTACCGGATTTACGTGGTCGTTACCCCCACCACTTGGCTACCGTGTGCATATGCACCGCGGTTGGTGGGAGACACCACGCGAACTTCTTTATTGGATACCGGAAAACGGTAGCGCTCGGCTACTGGATAATAGCGGGTAATTGGCGTCGGCCACCAATAGGGGGCGCGCGGCAATTGTCCTGCCGGCCAATGAGAGTGAACGGTAGCAGGACCAATGGTGCAATGATTTTTTAACTTGCATGTTCGCATGCGATCATTAAGGGGAAGAAAATGAAGTTGGACGTCAGTTTTTAGACTTTTAAAACTGCTTAACATCTCACGTTTATATTTTTTAATATCATACATAAATTTATGCATGCGACGGTCAAAGTCGTTGTCGTTCGTTTCACAATGACAACCTCCAAGCGTGTCGGTAGCTTTTGTTTTGGTCTGCGGTAACTGGATATTTAATATTTATGTGTCTACCGTCTCTTGTCGCCTTTGTCGTATATAAAAATTGTTGAAACATATTTTTATACCCACTGAGATGGTTTTTTTTTTCGGCTGTGGATGTGAATTAATAATGCGAAGGACTTAGTAAGCTCGGATTGTAGTAGTACACAATATGTTTAATTTTATAGATACTAAACTTTTTGTTTCATCCGACGGGAAAAAAATTATTAAAAAAAACATTTTAGATTTCTTATCTTAACATTCATGGTAAAAAATCAAAAAATTGTACATTCATTTTTTCGTAACTTTCTTACTATAAATAAATCTTTTTAAATTTCTTTGAACTGTCTAAAATGTTCAACAGCTTTTAAAAGTGTACTGTCTAAAATCTTTTAAAACAAAAACTTTTTAAATTCTCCTATTTTTTAGAACTTAAAACTGTATTTTCTAAAATGGCTTATGTAAAATGTCCTACCACCAAAGATTACCTAAATATACTCTAAAAGGGTATAAAACTAAATAAAATTTAAAATGTCCTAAAATCGTTTTAAAAATTCGAAAATTACAAAGTTCTACCGTTTAATAGCAATTGTAACAATGGGTTTATATTTTCACCTAGTACAAGAGGTCCCCTAAAAAATTTATTAAAATTGGCATAAAACTGTTATATTAAACCCTACAAAAAATATCTAAAAAAAAATATAAAATGTTTTAGATACCCAAACGGCATAAAACTGTATAAATTGTCCTAAAACCTGTCTTAAACTGTTTTAAAATGTTCATTTTATAAATTTTGATTTGACTAAAACGTTATTATCGTTAAAATGGTTTAAAATAAATGTCTTAAGACTGACTAAAATGTCTTTTTTTGTAACTGTCTTAACTGGAGCTGTTTATAAATGTAAGTGATTTATCAAAATGACTTTAACGCTGTATTAAATGGTCATAGGAATGTCTTGGGATTGTCAGAACTATTTTATAATTATCTAAAATGTCCTACTGTCTAAAATCCCTTCTGTGTCCTAAAACTGTTAATTTTTTTTAACTGTCTAAAAACAAATAAGAATATTGTCTTTTTTATTGTCCTAAAATTGTTCAAAATGTTCTAAAACAAGGGTACATAAAATGGGTTCTCCAAAAATTTTAAACTGTAATTGGTACCTATACTAAAACTGTTATATTTCGCCCTGTATAAGGTCCTACGTCTTAATTCTATCCAAATTGTCCTTAAACCATTTAAAAATTGTACCTATTCAAATTTTCATATAACTGTTTGTCTTAAACCACACAAAAAATAGTTAAATAAATTACAAAATGCTTTTAAGTTATCATATACATATGTCCTATATGACATAAAACTGTCTAAATTGTCCCAAAAATTGTCTATTTTAAAATGTTTTATTATAGATTTTAGTTTAATGTCTAAAATGGGCTAAACGTGTCTTCAAGCTGTTTTAAAATGTCTTAATAATCGTAAATATGTCCTAATCCTAACTTAAATGTCCTTTAAGGATTTAAAACTGTTTAATTTTAAAGTTATCATAGGACATGAAATTGTATAAATTGTGCTAAAGTCTTTACGTCTCTTCTATCTCTAAACTGTTAATTTTTTAAGTGTATAAAATGTTGTACAGCTTCTTAAAGTGTCCTATAAACAACTACAAATTTTGTATTTTCATTGTCCTAATACTGTATAAAATGTTACAAAATCAGGTAAAACTGTAGGTATATTTAAATTGTTTTTTAAACTTGAAACCATATTGTCTAAAATGAATTAAAAGTATATAAAACGTTCCAAAATATTCATAAAATAAAAAACTCTATTAATGTCCTAAAACCGTTTTAAAACCTTCTATTCTATCTAAATTGTCCTTAAACCATTTATAACTGTTTCTCCTAATACCATACAAAAATTTACTAAGAAATATAATAAATTGATATCATGGGACATAAAACTGTCTTAATTGTTCTGAACTGTTTTAAAATGTTCATGTTATTAATTTTGGTTTGGGTAACTGTCTAAAATGGTATATATTTAAATTGTTTAATAATTTCTTATTTTTGATAAAAAATGTGTTTTTAATAACTGGAGCAAGTTAAAAAATACAAAAGAAAAAAAGTGATATTGTCTTGGTTAAATGTTCATTTTAGAAATTATGTATTTTATTTAAATATGTCCTAACTAACTTTTAAAAACTTAATTAGTCTAATTTAGCACTTGAAACAAACAAATTTTCCAATTAACCGAGTAAAAAACTCAAAAAATAATTTGACAGTGGTAACCGAAAACAGCTTTCTAGAAGCCTGCGTAATACGGTAGCCATTTTCATCGCAGCAACCGAGCCCCACCACGCGAAGAAAGCCATGGAACAATCGTATCGCGGGAGCCGCGCGTAACGCGGTGCCATTGGTGGCATGGGTGCCCCAAGAAAAAAAGTCTAACCACAAACTAAGAGACTTACCTGGAGGTGTTCAAATGCGTGTGCACAATACTGAAGTAGAATGATAACTGAAGTCGACTTTCTCGAGCCGAAGGTACTACCAAACTGGTGCTTCTGTAGATTTACACTGAAAGTAGCAGAATGACTTTTAATCTACTAGTATTGTATGGCTCGAAACTTGCTTTCCGACCCCGCTGCCCCCCCTCCCTTCTCGTCCACATCCTCCAAGTCCAGCCTTCTTCCTTATCCGCGTCTCGCATAAGGTGCAGAATCGTACCGTGGAGAACACCGGTAGTTAGGTGTGCCGCAAGCCTAACTCGACTCTATGCAGAGCTGCTTTAAGGTTATGAGGGACACAGTCGATGTGATGTATTATGCGAGCAGTGCTTGATTAAGTTTTTAAGGAGTCCACTATACACGCAGAGATTTCGTTATTAAATTTAATGAGGATAATAAAAATACTCGAACCCGAACGTAAAGTGTTTTTATGAAAAAACATTTGTTGAAAAAAAAATTAACCTAACCTTAAAATGACGCTTAGGCTTGGAGTACCACATTGCCTGACTTCAGTTCTTAATTTAATTTTCCATCTTTTCCTTGGAAAGCCGTATTTTATGGGCAACAGCTACTTCGCAAATTATGTAAATGTCATTGGGTTGCGTCATTTATAAAGATTATATATAGTGCTTCATTCAGGAAATTAATTAATTCATTCATAAATATGTAAAATTTTTAAAAATCTTTATTGGTTTCTCATTGATAAAATTTATTTTATCAAATTTAATTTAAATAACAAGAAAGAACATAAGGATTTTAGGAAGTCTATAAAAGATTTTTCAATCAAGGTTTTAAGTTAAAACCTTTAAACAAATATTATAAATATTCCCCAACACCAAAACAAAACACAAAGTGCTTAAAGTACTTTTCGCCAACGATGTTGGCATCTTCAGAAGGAAAGTGTTTGTTTAACATATCATCAAAGTTTTCCTTTTTCAAGAAAAACCTTTAACACTTGTAAGGTGGAAATGTGGACATATCAAATGTGATTTCACAAATGTTGTGAACAAACAAGACAACCTTGGTTGGACATCAGGATCTGACTATGATTCAAAAGAACTTACAGAAGTTATCTAAACCCAAAATAAAGGGATACCTACTGGTTGAAGAAGAACCATCTCTCAAAAATCCATACGAAACTGCAATGGAAAAATCATCACAACATCCAATAGACAAACACAATCCTTCATAAAAAACCAACTGGATAAATAGACAAACCTGGGTGGAAACCATGGTTTGTTGCCTAAAAGTAAACCGTAAACAGAGGAGAATCTCCAAAGAGGTTACTCTGGCAAACATATCTATATATGCATGCTTAGTGAGCTCAAGAAGTTCACCCTTGTCTGGGTGCTGGTTCATCTAGGAAGCAGACCTAGCTCGTAGAGGCAGCAGCTCCGACTTTATTGGGCCAAAACTTGCTCTTGAGGTTGCCTCCTGTCAGGTTAAAGCTAAGATCAGGAACAGGAACTGGACTAGCAACCACTTCCAGTTCCAATGAGGCCTTTAAGGAACTAAACAGGAACCAACTAAGAGGAATCTCCCACATCTAATCTACAAAAATTAAAAGCAACACATTTTGGTAACGCTTTGTGAAAAATAACAAGGCAAAACAGTCTTATTCAGAAAATTCCGCAGCACGAAATCTGTGTCACCATCGATGTAAAAATTTGTCAGTGGGACACCTTTAGAATACCTCTTGATTACTCATTTAAAAAATTTAAATATCTTACTACAACACAGCGGTCCTTCTCGGAACCGTGATATATGGCGGAATATTATTAAACGAAAAAATTTACGGATGCTGCTAAAATTTTTGACGCAACTGAAAACCATTAGCAGGAATTCCGAGACGGATCTCTGCAGGAGACTTTCCTGCTGACGATATTAAAATTTTGTTATATTTGGATCAAAATTAATTACTCATAACCATCCACGAGTTTGGGTTACCTGGTACAATCTGCATGCATACGTTAAACAGATTGATTGTAAAAATATTATGTCTTGACATTCTAAAATTTGTGTTTTTGGATATTAAAAACGTCTGTTTCAATTTTAAAATACAATGGTGGTTTGTTAAAGTTATTTACGTTATAGTGACTTTAGACTTTTGTCAGATTGACATTGTTGAATAAAATTTTATCATTATCAAACTTATTATATAAATAATCTTATTGTTTTGCAGGAAATTTAATGTTTTATCAGGAATTTTAAATTGACTTTGCATGAAAGCAAAAAACCCACATTAAGTTACTTGGAATAATCTTTTAATCTGCAGGACACTTTCCTGCAAATAATAAAACAGCAGGATTTTTTATGATTGATTGTAAGAAATGTTGACCCACATTCCAAGATTAATACGATTTACCTCCGACCAAAGATTTTTTTGTTAGTCATTAAACAAATTTTACTGCTACTGTTTTAATGTCTGTAGATATTCTTGGAATTAAAAATGTGTTGGTGACATTTTCAGCAATAAATTATGCCTGACTCAGCAGCTACTTTATGGGTGAAAGTAAAATTATGATGCAATCATTTCAATGGTAAATTATAAGAGTTCAGATTTTTTTTGCAGGATGAACGACATCCGCATACTTTTCTCACGCTCGCAGTACCTAATTGTTTAAATTTTTTGCAGGAAGTTCAGAAAAGATACGGAAATGGAGATCGTAGTTTGTAGTAGTGCACTATAGACATTTTGTCGCAGTTTTCATCAAAATATTTTAAAACAACCACATTGTAAAACATTAATTTTAACATCTCCACAGCATTGCTAAAATCGCTTTGAAAAATTTTCGAGGTTTTTTATGAATGCACAATCCATCACAACTTGCTGCGGTTACAGAACCAATGGACCATTGTGCATTTAACAAGAACCCATTCATGTCCCATTATTTCCCATCGAATAGCAAAGCCAGATCTTTCAGATGGATTGATGAACATATTATTGCACAAAGAAGTTATTATTGTATTTAAATAAGTTTGTAAGTTTCTTGTAGCAGGGAATTTAACTAAATAGTTTTCTAGAAGCAATTTGAACATAATATGTTATGTAATTAATGTAATATATTAAAATGGGTATTTCCTTAGGGTCCATAAAGAAGAAACTTTTTTTTTCTAAATTCTCAAGACTAAAAATAATTTATAATAACATTTATCCTACCTAAAAGTACCCCACTGATCGACTAGGAACTTTGGGCTAATCTGGTTGCCTAATTTAATTTATTATGACATGGTTGGTAACAACCAGCGTTTCCAGATTCTGTCAAAAAAAGTTGCCAGATTTTGTTTAAATTTAGCTTTATTACAAAAATGACAAAATCAACAATGCAAATTGATAATTTGAGATTTATTAAATGACAGAATCTAGTGCATTTCTTTCAAATTTTAGGTTGTGTGCTCAAATTCTAAATATATTAACTAAGGGAAGTACTTTTGGATTTATTTACACAAATTGAATGTTAAAGTTTAACCTGTGAACTTGTCCTAATTTTATCTAAGTTAACAGAAAAAAAAACGATGAAAAAATTAATATTGTGGTTATGGAGTTTTTAAAATAGGTACTAAATTTTCTAATAATTTCTTAAGCTAATAGCTGGATGAGTAAATAAATACGGAAGGGTATTAGAGCTTTAAGGGCATAAAACTTGTATTTATTAAGTTTTTATTTATTTTTTGCAAGAAAAATTGTTAGTAACAATTTGCAACTGGCAACTTGCTACTTTGTTGGTTGGTATCTATGAAATCACAGAACACAAGTGAGTAACCAGTGGCGTATCACAAAAAATATAAAAAAAACTTCTAATGCATATTTTTTCTTTATATTTGGGAAAATATTTTTTTAAATATTTTTTCGTTACACCCTATGTCAAAAGGTATTCAGTATGTTAATATATTACATTAATTACATAACACCCTAAATATTTCGATAAATACAAGTATTATAAAAAAAATAGTCAAACACTATTAATTCTATTTTTTGATGATATCAGTGGAGCAATAGGTACCTTAATATAAGGGAAACTTGTCAACATTGCATTTGGTGCTTTCAAATCTTGAATGAGCGAGAATTTCGTTTGAGGCAATTAACAGCATTTTCGTTGATTTCGGGTCGACGAGGTCCTAATTAAATTGTAAAGTTGATGGTTAACCTATAAATTTTAGGCCCGTTTCAGCCCCGCTATGTTTTTTTAAGATATAAAATGAAATGAAGATATTAAGGACCACTTAAAAGACATTTACAAAGTTTTAGAAATATTGACCGTCTGGTTTCCGAGTAAAAAATTATTAAAATTGCTAAGACTACACGGGATGTTATTGTTTATTATTGCTAATCTCTGTTGTGAATGTTGACAAAAATTTATATGCCAATTTTACATGTATAAGTGCATATACAGTATTGGCCATAATTCTTGGACCACTGTAAAAAAAATCTAACTCTAAAACCCTTTATTATTCTTTATGAAATTTTGGATAAAAATACTTTAACTTTTATCTCAGTTTAAGTGTTCGAGGGTTTTTCGAGAAAATTTATTTATAGCCCTTTTATTTAATAATGAAAAAACGTTCAAAAAATAACTTTTAGGGAATTTTTTTTTAATAAATAAAAAATATGCTGTTAAAGACCGTATTTTTGTTAGTATACCCTGAAAATTTTGTACAAATTAAACGAACAGTAACGAAGATACAGCTCTTCAAAGTCAGTAAAAAATTGCCCCTTTTTGATTATTTTGCTGAAAAGTCATTTTTGACGGCTTTGAATCGCTGTATCCGTTACTGTTCATTTGATTTTTACAAAATTTTCAGGGTATACTAACAAAAATACGGTCTTTTACAGCATATTTTTTATTTACTTAAAAAACAATTTCCCTAAAAGTGATTTTTCGAACGTTTTTTTTATTATTATTTTTATAATTTAAAATTACTATTTTTATTATTTAAAAATATTTTCTCGAAAAACCCTCGAACACGTAAACTGAGATATAAGTTGAAGTATTTTTATTCAAAATTTCATAAACAATAATAAAGGCGTTTTAGAGTTAAATTTTTTTTACAGTGGTCCAAGAATTATGGCCAATACTGTATATATTATAATTAG